CACTGGGCAAATTGGCTGCAAAGGGCCTCTTTCAAGTGCTGAAGAGCAGAGATGTCTCCTTGAGGACTAAGGTGTGCCTGACCCAAGCAATGGTATTTTCAATCGCCTCATATGCATGTGAGAGCTGGACAATGAAAAAGGAAGACCGAAGAAGAGTGGATGCTTTTGAGTTGTAGTGCTGACAAGGAATGCTGAAAGTACCATGGACTGCTAAAAGAACTAACAGATCTGTCCTGGAGGAAGTGCGGTCGGAATGCTCCTTGGAAGCGAAAATAGCCAGACTTCATCTCACCTACTTTGGTCATGTTGTCAGAAGGGAGCATTCTCTGAAAAAGGATGTCATGCTTGGTAAGGTGGAGGGGCCATGAAAGAGGGGAAGCCCTCAACGAGATGGATTGAACAGTGGCTGCAGTGATGGGCTCAAGTATAGCAAGGATGATGGAGCTGGTGTAGAACCAGGCAGTGTTTGGTTCTCCTGTGCAGAGGGTCGCTATGAGTCAGAGAGGACTGATGGCACCTAACAACAACAATAGGGGCAGTGAGGTTATGTTAATGAGGGAAGAAATACTCAGACAAGGAGGTTGAGAATGGTTGTACAACTCAGAATGTAATTAATAGCTGTGAATTGTACATGCAGAAATGGTTGGTGTACGTTCTGCTGTGTATATTGTCAGTAACAACAGTATCAATAATTTTTTAAAAATCAACATCACCTGTTGTTTTTTCTTTTTTAAAAATGTGATTGATAGAAACATTTTCATTATATACTTGGCTCCTGTTATATTTCTGTAGGACAGTACTACTCTGGAAAACATGGACCTGTCAATCTTAATTTCACACTTTACAAGCTATGTCAAAAGTTATACATACACTTCTTGTGTTTTCTGGGGAGCTCTGGTAGCATAGTGCCTAAGGCATTTGACTACTAACCAGAAGGCTGGAGGTTCAAACCCACCAGCACTCCCTGGAAGGAAGATGGGGCAATTTACTTCCATAGTGGAGGGGTCGCTATGAGTTGCAAACGACTCCACGGCAGCGAGTTTGTGTGTTTTCTGGAAGATAAAATGTGTGTTATGTTAGGGTTAGTGTTAAGATTAAATGTGACGCAGTCACTTAGTATGTACCAGGCGCCTAAGGAAACAGTTAAGTTTGGTGGTTGTTTTTATTAAGGGCCCCGGTTTTCGTACTGCTACCGTCCAAGCTGGGCCGCTTCTTATTAAAGGCCCTTCCTTAGAGGCCTATGTTCTCTCAAACATGCTAATAACAAATGGTAGCCTGGGGCTGACCCCCGCTTTCGAGGAGGTCACCCTCTCCACATCGACAAATTGAAATCAAGACCCACGGTCCCTCCCGGAAGAGGGGCATCTGTATTTATGAATGGAGTCTAGGACAAAACCTGAAAAAGTAGCAGCCAGGGCCACTAAACCGCCTTTAAGAAGCCATGCCCGCGCCCTTCTCTAGCAGAAGAGTAAGGACGTGGTTCTACAGCTATTGCTCTCCGGTGGGACTACTTCCGGTCAGTTCCAGGCGCTCGTCCCTCGGCTTACCGTTCCCCGAAGAGCCGGGCATTTGGCCGCGGGTTCCGCCGCCTCTGGAGCCTCAGAGCCCTCGGTCTGGCGTCGGCGGCAGTCGCGGCGGGGGTGGTGTTGGAGCCTCCGGCGCAGCCGCTATGCTGAGCTCCCGGGCCGAGGCGGCGATGACTGCGGCCGACAGGGCCGTCCAGCGCTTCCTGCGGACCGGGGCGACGGTCAGGTGAGCTGTGAGGGGCGGGGCGGCCGGAGAGACCCGGGCCGGGGTCCTTAGCCCCAGCCTGAGGCGGTCTTTTCACGCTTTCGTCGGGGTTCTGGGGCCCGACTGGTCACTCTGGAAGCTTCTACGACCTGGAGGGTTGGAGGACCGGGCCCTGAGGTGGGAGTGGCGACGGCCTTTTCGGTTACACCACACTTGCCTGCACTCTCCAATTCTGTCCGCGACCCCCAGTTTTGTCAGCGGATTCTCCATCCTGTCAGTGCTCCCAGGATTGCTAAAGCTCCCCAGTCCTGTAGAGGCGCTCAATTTTGTCACTGCTCTCGTTCCTCTCAGTCCCTGCAGGCCTGCCAGGATCCATTAGTCTTTTTAGGAATACCTCAGTCCCTCTGGGCCCCTCAATCATGCCAGTGCCCGCACCTGCCACGTCTCCCGGTCTTGCCAGCAGTTCCACAGTCCTGTTTGTGCCTGCACAAGGCTCCCTAGTCTTGTCAGGACCCCTATTCCTGCCAGGACCCCCAAATCTTTCCAGGACTTCCCCAGTCCTTCCACCCTACCAGGATTTCCCAGTATTATTAGGCTGTCTAATCTGGCCGGCAAATAACAACAACAACAACAACAATCTGGCCAGGGATTCCCTGGTCTGTAAGTGCCCAACGCTGCTACCTCATTTCCCCCCATCCAGAACCTCTTTTGTCAGAACCCAGTTCTGCCAGGGTGACCCAATTTTGTCTGGTTGCCAGTCTTAATAGTGACTCCCTTTACTTGCAAGCATTCCTAAACCAATCAGGGCTCCTTAACCTGTTAAGCCTGTCCCAGTCCTATTAAGATTCCCCCATTCCTGCCAGGTACCCCAGTTATCTGGGTCTCCAATTTTTTCACGATCCCCAGCCCTGCTAAAGTTCCCATCTTCTCTTGTCCATCCACCTTCCCGAGTGCTCCAGGCTTCAGAGCTGAGCACTGTGGCCCCAGTCCTGACCCTAAATGACTGAGACCTGGTCCACAGATCATCTTCCATCCTCTGGAACTGGAGCAGGTCTAAAGAGCTGTTATCCCAGGGCTGGAAACAAGCTCTCAGTGGCTGCCCTGTTCAGTGCCCCCATTTCATAGACAGGAAATGGGCCTTGAGAGAACCTCGCCTGCAGTCTCACTGCTGAACTGGTAGCAGAACTGGGAGGCGAAGCCAGATCTCACACCCAGGCCCCACTACCCTCCTTGACTTGTCATTTTGCAGAGGAATGGCGTTTTTAAAGTTTGTCACTTACCCTGGGTTTCTGTGCATGCTCTGCCGACACCACTCACCAGTTGGCATTGCGTTGATTCCAACTCATGGCGACCACATACGTATCTGACTAGAACTGTGCTTCATAGGATTTCACTGGTTCATTTTTTGGAAATGGATTGCCAGGCCTTTCTTCTGAGGTGCCTCCTGGAAGACTAGTACCTTCCAACCTTTCAGTTGGCAGCCAAGCATGTTAATTTAACCATTTGTACCACTCAGGGACCTGGGGCAGATCCTCTGTCCTATCCCTTTGTTGTTCTATCCTTCAGTTCCCTTCATGAACATTGTTTTAAGCATGGCCTTGGGAGCCCATCAGGAATGAGTTCACATCCTGGCTGCCTCACTCACCTGACCAAGTTGGTCACATCTCTTTGTTTCCTCATCTATAAAAACAGGGATGTGGGATGGGATGTACATCTTGAGGATGGGATGAGATTGTCACAGTGCCTCCAAAAAAACTAACACTCATTGCTGTCGAGTTAGATCTGACTCATAGCGACCCTTCCTTGGGTTTCCGAGGCAGTATCTCTGTGAAAGTAGATTGCCCACCCTTCCTTCCGAGGAGTAGCTGGTGGTTTTGAATCGCCACCCTTCTGGTTAGCAGTCACATGCCTTAGGCACAACACCACCAGAGCTCCCATCACAGTGCCTAGCATAGAGTAAAAGTAAAAAAAAGAAGAAAAACCTGTTGCCACTGAGTCAATTCTGACTCATGGCAGTCTCGTGTGTCAGGAGGAGATATATGCCCCATGTGGGTTTCAGTGGCTGTTACCATACAAAAATAGATCACTAAGCCTTTCTTCCAGAGCACCAGTGAGTGGATTGGAACTGCCAACCTATCAGTTAATAGCCAAGCACAAACCATTTATGCCACCCAGGGACCTTATGGACTAACATATTAGTGTTTGATTAAGGCATATGAAGAACCTTTGTAAAGTGCTTTAGTGTTTGATAGTCCCTTTTAACCTTTCTAAGGAGCTCTGGTGGCATAATGGAGAAGGAATTTAGCTGTTTACCAGAAGGTCAGCAGTTCAAATCTATCAGTTGCCCCACAGAAGGAAGACGGGGCAATCTCCTTCCGTGAAGATTTACAGCCTTGAAACCCAAGGGGGGGGGTGTCGCTATGAGTCGGAATTGATTCGACAGCAGTGGGTTTGATCTACATGCCCCATGTGTCATTGTTATTAGTTGCCCTTGAGTCAGTTTGACTCAGGCTACCCCACGTGTGCAGAGTAGAGCTGTGCTACAGAGGGTTTTCAAGGCTGTGACCTTTTGGAAGCAGATTGCTAGGCCTGTCTTCCAAGGCACCTCTGGGTGGGTTTGAACACCCAACCTTTTGGCTAGGAGTTGAGCCCTTAACTGTATGCGTTCCCAGGGACTCCTGCCTTATGTATTAAAAACAAAAAAACCAAACTCGCTGCCATTGAGTCGTATCCAACTCATAACGACCCCTCCTTGGGTTTCCGAGGCAGTATCACTACGGAAGTAATTGCCCAACCTGCCTTCCGAGGAGTGGCTGGTGGGTTTGAACTGCCAGCCTTCTGGTTAACAGTCAAATGCCTTGGGCATTACGCCACCAGAGCTCCGATGTGCCCATGTGTTAGCACTATTTAATCCTCACGATAATCCTATGAGGTAGGCCTCATAGGTACAAAGGGTACAGATGAGGAAGCCATGGTTTAGAAGGTAAAATGACATCCTAGGAAGTAGCAGAGCCAGGAATTAAACCAGATTGATGCCATTCCAAAGGAGCCCTGGTGGCGCAGAGGTTAAGCGCTTGCTGCCAACTGAAAGGTCAGCAATTTGAGCACCAGCCACTTCATGGAAGAAAGATGTGGCAGTCTGTTTCTGTAAAGATTTCTACCTTGGAAACTGTGAGGCAATTCTCCTTTTTCTGGTTGGGTCGCTATTAGTCGTAATCGACTTGACCATAATTGTGACTCTCCTTTCTTAACCAAGCCCTGTGAACATTCTGTTGATTCTGTATTGGGAGAACAAAGATTTGAAATTCATTTATGAACCAGATACTAGGAAAATTTTGGTGGTTGTTAGGCCAAGTCACTATTATTACCAGTAACTGTTCATTGATTAAAATGTAGAGATCTGAGAGCAATACAAGATTCAGGTGATCTAGATATTGGGTAAGACTATCATACACATGTATGATGTGCCTCATTCAGTGGAAATGCATAACTTTGTATTAAAAGAATGTTTTAAATTGCTGGTGAAATGTCTTCATTTGTAGTAAAACAATAGCTTTAGGATCCAAGTCAAGCCTGAAGGTAAGAAGTCTTGGATTTTATAAATATTTAGAACATCTTTTAAATGATTTTATGGTCCTCTCCCCATGATATTCTACAAGAGAAATCCATTTCTGTAATCCTTTGCTGAATAGTTGATCGTTCGTCAATTGTTCGATTAAATTAGTGAAAACCTACTATGTGCCAGGCACAATCTAGACGATTAGGATATGGCAGTGAGTGAAACAGACTAAGTCCCCTGTCCTTGGAACTTTACATTCTAGTTGAAGGAGAGAGAGAAAAAAAACCGTAGTGAATAAGTGCATTTTATTTTAGAAGGTGATTAGCACTCTGGTAAAAAGGAAGAGTAGAACCAGGTAAGAGGATCCAGGAATGCCGGTCCAAATAGGGCATTCAGAGTTGTTGTGTGCCATTGGGTCGATTCCAACTCATAGAGACCCTATAGGATGAAGTAGAACTGCTCCATAGCGTTTGCTAGGTTCTCATCTTTACAGGAGCAGGTCACCAGGTCTTTTCACCTGAGGAGATGCTGGTGGGTTTGAACCGTAGACCTTCTGGTTAGCAGCTGAGCACTTAACCACTGCATCACCAGGGTTCCTTGTCTTCAGAGTAGGCCTCGTGAGAAGTGAAGGAAGTGGGGGAGTAAGCCAAGCAGAGATCTGGGGAAGGAACATTCCACACAGGAGTGGCCAGTGCAAAGGCCCTGGGGCAAGAGCATGTCTGGTGTGGTACCCAGTGGGGTTTGTTGGAGCAGTGGAGTGAGAGGCTTTTTCTCTGAGTGACTGGAAGGTTGTGTTCTGACTTAGGTTTTAAATTCTGAGGTCTAAATATACTGATTTCCAAGACATAATCCTATGACTGTATGTTGCTGTAACTTACAAGTTAGGTATTTGGTGAACGGTGGGTTATTTTGACTGAATGTTATTTCTCTGTACCTATGTGTTTAATAAAAGGTCCCTGGGTAGTACAAATGGTTTATGCTTGTCTCCGAATCGGAAGGTTGGTGGTTCAAACCCACCCAGTGCGCTATAGAAGAAAAGCCCTGATAATCAGCTTCTGTAAAGATTGCTGTTGTTACTGTGTGCTGTCCAGTTGATTCTGACTCATAGTGACCTTGTAGGACAGAGTAGAACTGCCCATAGGATTTCCAAGGCTGTAGTCCTTATGGAAGCAGACTGCAACATCTTTCTCCTGTGAAGCTCCTGATGGATCCAAACTGCTAACCATCCAGTTATCTACAGAGCAATTAACTACTGTGTCACCAGGGTCCTTCCGTAAAGATCACAGCCAAGAAAACCCTATGGAGCAGTTCTACTGTGTAATACGTGAGGTCATCATGACTTAGAATCATTTTGACAGCATGCAACAGCAACACGTGTATGTCCGTGTACTGTGCTTGTGATGAGGGAGACAATAAATTTTTTTTCTCTTTTTAGATATAAAGTCATGAAGAACTGGGGAATTATCGGTGGTATTGCTGCTGCACTTGCAGCAGGAATATATGTTATTTGGGGTCCCATTACTGAAAGAAAGAAGCGTAGAAAAGGTAAGAATGAGACCATTGCATTGTTTTCTGTAGACTGGAGGAACCCAAACCCCTATTAGCACTTGATCCAAAAACAGTGCAAAAAAGGGGAGCAGTTCACTTTTTGTTCTCTTATAGCTTTAAACAGAGGACCTCAGTTTTTTAAACAGTGCTCTCCTTTAACCAGAAGTTAATTTTAATGACTCATTGTCTTACACCCTGTAATAAAAAAGATTTACCTGCCTCCTCCTGTCACCACTTAAGTTGGCTAGTGCTCTGTAATGAAAAATTTCAGGTGGCTGAATTGTCTAAGTGTTCTCATTAATGCAGCAATTGTATATTAATAGCTTAATTACATGATGTGTTCGTGGTTTTGCAGACTAGCTGCTGGTTGTTGTTAGGTTTTCGATCATATCCACCCGTGTGACAGAGCAGGACTGCCCCATGAGGTTTTTTAGGCTGTAGTCTTTATGGAAACAGATTCCAAGGTCTTTCTCCCTTAGAGCCACTGGGTGGGTTTGAACTGCCAACTTTTTGGTTAGCAGCTAAGCTCTAAACCATTGTGCCACCAGAGCTCCTTGGCTAGCTGCCAGTCAGTAGTAAAAGTTTCAAGTGAGTCTCTTCATTACTCAGAAACCCTGTTTCCTTGTTTTAAAAAACGCTCCCCTTGGAACACAGCAAAAATTTTAAAATAAATAAATAAATGATTTGAAATAAAATAAATAAGTACAATGCGCCCCCTTGAAATAAATGTTGCTGTATTTATGTTGATTAAAATTCAGCAAAAGAAGGAGAAAGGGCTGGAGGAAGCAAGGGTGGCAAAGTGTTGATCATAGTTAACATCTAGGGGTGGTGGCAGTTGGGTTTTTTATATAATTTTCTCCTTTTGTGCATGTTGAGAACTTTCATAATTAAAAGTTGTTTAAAAAACTTTCAGCAGAAGAGGAAATTATATCAGATTTTGCTGATCTCCTTTGCAGAAAGATTGACCAGAATTGCTATATATAGTGGTGTCTTTCCTCACTTACTGTAAAATAAAAACAAAGTCATTGTTCTAGGGGTGTGACAATGGAACAATTGTTTTCTTCTGTTCTGAGAGCCACTGCTTGCTTATTACAATGGAGAGAGAGAGAGAAAGTGAGAGCCAGCAAGAGAGAATCAAGAGAGGGAAGAGATAAGTTACCAAGTGTCTTTGTACATTCAGCAGGAACCAGGCTGTGTCAGATACCACAGTGGGTTGAACAAATAATGCAGGATGGGGATCCTTCTGTTGCACACAGTCTCTTCAAGGAGGCATTACTAGGGCCAGGCCTTGACACGGGCAGAGCCCTTGAACCCAGATTTCTGCATTTAAGGACCCTCTTAGATTGGGAGTCGGAATTCAAGGCCACCTTGCAGGAATCTGGTTCCTGAAGAGAGTTGGCCAGATATGATGTGCTTTTCTCTTCTTCCCCTCACTTTTTTTTTTTTTTTTAAAGGGCTTGTTCCTGGCCTTATCAATTTAGGAAACACCTGCTTCATGAACTCCCTGCTACAAGGCTTGTCTGCCTGCCCTGCTTTCATCAAGTGGCTGGAGGAGTTTACAAGCCAGTACACCCAGGATCAGAAGGAACCACCCCCACACCAGTGTTTATCCTTAACACTGTTGCACCTCCTGAAAGGTACCAAGTTGGGGATATAAAGGAGATTATGGGCCTTTTCAGAGAAGCCCAAATGCCAAACAGAGGGTTAAGAGCATTAGTGTCAAAAAAGATAATACAGATCTTTTTGGAGAAGAAAAACAAAAAAACACAACAGGATGCACCCAATAGATACAAACAGTTGTGTTTGTTTGTTTTAATCCAAGACTTAACCATTTATTTTGGAAAGTTATCAGTTTTAATAACAGCCTTTAGGGAAAGAAAAGACCCCACTGCCACATGAACACTTTGATTGCAGGAAGTACTCTTCTTACTCCAAAAACATTGAAGAAAAAAAAAAATGTGTCTTAGTCTAAGAAATAAGGTAATTTCATAAAAGAAGTAATATAGATTGCTAACAAACACTTAAGTGTTCGATCATCATTAGAGAAATATAAATTAAATAATCGTGGGGGACTGACCATGTTTTGCCTGCTAAAAAAGATTAAAAAAACACATCCACAGCCCTGGCTATGTTGCAGCAGCTTGCAAAATGTTCAGTACCATTTGACTTAGTCATTACGTGTCTGTGGAAATATGAGAAACATGGACTGTGATTGACACTAATCTCGAAAACGGATCTCTGGAAACAAGTTTGAGAACGTCCAGTCACTGTCCTCAGCTTAGAGAATCACACTATACATTGGGGTTTGGTAAAGGTTTTAAGAAACCACTTCTCTAACTTTACTAATTATAATTCATTTTATTTATTTATTTATTTTGTTGAGAATGTACATAGCATAACACATACCTATCTTTATTTTTGAGCCAACTGTTTTGACTGTAGAATTGATTTTTTTTTATTTCATGATAACTCTTGCATTCCAAAGACATCTCATTGAGTACAGTTTGGGAGATGCTGATGTAAGTGGGAAAAGAAGATACTTATCTGACAGTAGAATGATGAAGCACACATTTCTTTATAAATTAAGAAATTAGATATTATTTCATGTTTTTTTTTTCATAACCAGGTTACATAATATCACATAGCTATTAAGAATCATGTTCATAACTGCCTCCTTTGCCATGAGACTAGAAGAACTGGATGGTGCCTGGCTGCCCATACTGAATATTTTTATCAAAGATTCCATAGGAGAGTCCTGATTGAGAGGGGGAAAATGCAGAACAGAACTTCAAATTCTCATAGACTCTAGACGTTCTGGAGCCATGGAAGGTGAATGAACCCCTAAAACGATTGCCCTAAGAAAATCTTTAAACTTTAATCAAAACTATCTCCTGAAGTCTTCTTTAAAGCAAATAATAACTTAGCTTAACTGGTAAAAAAAAATCTCAGCCTTGAGCACAATGCTCTTTTAAAGTATCTGTGTGGGATCAAATTAACAGCAACTCAAAAGATTAGATAGAAACCTTAGGGGGCAGTGATTTTATGTTAATGGGGGAAGAACAACTTGGAAAAGGAGGGTGAGAATGATTACACAGCTCAAAGATGTAATCAGTGACACTAAACTGTGCATCTAGAAACTGTTGGATTGGTGTATGCTTTGCTGTGTATATTCTCAAAACAATAAAATAAATAAAATTTAGAAAAGTGAACTGAAGGGGGAGAAAAATTCTAGTATCACCCTTACGATTTATAAAAAGATTTTTTAACTTCCAAAATTTTAGGAAAAGCTAGCCACCTCTGAATAAGGGACATATCTTTCTTTTCTTTTTTTTAAATTTTTATTGTGATTTGGGTAAGAGTTTACAGAGCAAATTCATTTTCCAAACAGCAGCTCACACATACTTTGTCTTATGATATTGACTGTAATCTCCCATAATGTAACAGCTCCCACTTCCTCCCCATAGCCACCTCTTCCATGTGTCCTTCCCTCTATGTACTTCTGCCCCCCCACCCCTAGCTCTCTCCCTGTGCATACACAGCCCTTCTATTTTCCCATGATCTCTCCAACGAGTATATCTACCAAATGTAAATATTCAGTTCCTATGCTTGTCTTTTGTTTGGCTGGAAGCCACGGGAGTGGGTTCAATTCCAGGCCTGAAGGGCAACTAGGTGCCATAGTCTCAGTGGTTCCACTAGGCTCTATCAGACCAATACATTCCTTTGTATTGTTTCCAAAATAATACATACCTTTCCAAAGACTGTAAAGAGCTGAAATGCCAGCCTGAGGTGTTCTGAGGCAGGCTTAGGCATTGTCTTAGCCATGACCACATCCCTCCTGTCTTCCGTTTCCAGGTGGACAACCCAGGGCTGGGACATGGAGCCATTAGGCGGGTGCCCTGAAATACATGCTCTCTTCTCCACTTTTGCTCTTCAGTGTCTTTTTATTTCTTTTTCAAAAATGTTGTTATTAACTTGGGTTTTTTTCAATTGTAAAAATATATATATAACAAGTCTTTCTTGGGTACATTTCAGTGACACAAATCACATCGGTTGTGTTGTGTAACCATCACCAATATCCAGTGCCCAATTCCTATCACCAAATCAGAAATTCAGGGCTTCCTGAACAGTGACCTTCCCTTCCCCAGCCCTCCCGCCCCTGGGAACCACTAATACACTTTCTTCCATGTCTTTTATTTTGTTTTTTTAGAAGTTGTTTTCAGTTACTGAAGTAGCGCATGAATACATTCCCCTTGTAAAAACTTAAAGCCTTACAGATCTGTCTGCCTCCCCTTTGTCACTCTTCCAGTCCTGTTCCTGTCCCTCTTTCCCAAAAGTAAGATATGAGTCTACCCTTCCAGACCATTCCCTGTGCATTTAAACACGTTTCTCCTTATCCATGGAAATGAGAGACTATTGTTCTGTGTTTTTCATAACAAATACAATATGCATTAAAGAAATGTCCATTCCATACATGGAACGGAATCTCATTCACTTTTTTTTTTTTTTTTTTTTTT